TGGGCGACCACTTGGCCCAGCTCGCGCAACGACGTCAACTTGAGGACGCCATCCGTATATAATGGTTGGTTAGTGGTTCGTAAGGAAAAGGAAGAAGGCACCTAATTTCTGTCTGCCTATAGGCGACCATGCGCAGTGTCTTATAGGGGAGGGGATGGAAAGATAAAAGAATAGAAGGAAATAGGTGAAAAAATAGAGAGGCAAGCGACGGAAGATAGAAGGAGATGAGAAAGTGGGGATCCGGTCGAAGCAGTCCAAGGGCGGGGCACCACAATGCGAGAACTTAACGGCGGCAGGAGACCGCGGAGCGCGAACCAGTCGGCGGGAGCTACGCTGGCGTCGGAGATCGCGAGGTCACGACCGTCCAGCTTGAAATCCTGCGAGCGAATCCCCGCATATAATGGGCTGAGAAGATGTAAGACGCCTACTTCAAATAGTCCTCCTCCCTTCCCTAGCCCCCATCAATTTACTAATAAAGTTGTTCAGTCAGTCAACGTGGATACAATGAATATTTGTTTACAATTAATATTTATTTACGGGTCAACACGTGTATCCACGTGCTGTCCGATGCTGGCACTCCCTGCCAGATAGCATCGCAAGCCTAGTTAACACTAATACTTTCCGTGACGCGTTGACTAGTTATCTGGCCAGGGAAGCGCAAAGAAATCTGACACTATAGCTGTATGTCCTTAGTGTCATAGTAATATTTGTTTCTTGCATTTTAAGTCATCGTTTTAAACACGTAGTATCATTTTTTTCTTTTCTTTTTTTTGATACGTCAATAATTATTTGTATAAAATCTGAAGCTTGCTTGACTAAATATACTTTATAGATAATGCCCCGGTGATTGTTTCCTCGTTATGTCTTTTTCTTGCTAGTGTTGCGATTCTTTTTTGTAACCAGTACTGCCAAAAATACTTTCTGTTGTACTGCTCTGTCATTTGGTTCATTAAGTATGTTCCTGTATTTGTATGTTGTTAACGATTAAAAAAATTCACTTTTTGTACTGCCCCTCTTACACTATGCCTCAACTGAGGCCTGTAAGGTATTTTTAAATAAATAAATAAAAAATAAATATGTATAGCATGTAGAGATCAAAGTGACGCACACTTGATCTTGACCACATCTACCTACACGACACTCAATTCAGATCAATAAGATACCCCCCTCCAAAAAACTGCCTGCGCCCCTGATCTATCTATCTATCTATCTATCTATCTATCTATCTATCTATCTATCTATCTATCTATCTATCTATCTATCTATCTATCTATCTATCTATCTATCTATCTATCTATCTATCTATCTATCTATCCATCTATCTATCCATCTATCTATCCATCTATCTATCCATCTATCTATCCATCTATCTATCCATCTATCTATCCATCTATCTATCCATCTATCTATCCATCTATCTATCCATCTATCCATCCATCTATCCATCCATCTATCCATCTATCTATCCATCTATCCATCCATCTATCCATCCATCTATCCATCCATCTATCTATCTATCTATCTATCTATCTATCTATCTATCTATCTATCTATCTATCTATCTATCTATCTATCTATCTATCTATCTATCTATCTATCTATCTATCTATCTATCTATCTATCTATCTATCTATCTATCTATCTATCTATCTATCTATCTATCTATCTATCTATCTATCTATCTATCTATCTATCTATCTATCTATATGGCTGCCTACGACTTTTAGCTCTCCTGGCCGCCACAATTATGGTATCAATACCAAAATTGGTATGGCATAACCTCGTCCTCGGGCTCCTGCGACCGTGTTCATCTTTCACACCTTTTCCTTATTTCTGTATGTGGGTCTTTCTGTCCCTTGTCCTATCTCTATCCCTATCCCTCTTAACCCTAACTATCATTTTAATCACTCCTTACCCCTATCCCTCTTGGGCCACTGTTGAGGTGTCGCACTGTGATGCAGACAGTTACGGGGCTCACTTGTATAATCTTTTCTGTCTTTTAAGAATCACTGCTACTACGTAGCCACACGCCCACTCACTACATTGGGAGAGGGCACGGCGCTGCGTCAGAAAGCCTCGCGCTGGCAGACACGCTGCGACGGATACGTAATGTCAGGCCTTTAACGTTACAAATTTTTGCGGTCTGTGACGTCATGTCATACCACGTGATAATTTTTCTCGAACCTCATATTGACGCAGCCGACGCCGTCGATCAATTTTCACGTTCGATGAGGCCAGTGCTTTCGCCCCGGAAGTAAGCATTGCGCCACGAAATGAGGATGCCGGGTTGCAAAGGGGCTACGTGCAAGACTGTTCGCCTGACGCTTTCCAGTTGGCGCGTCGTAGTACCGATTCGCGACGCCAGAGCACGTCTTGGGAGACACCGGACGCCCACGGCGGAAGGTTTCTGCACATTGCTACTTCTGGAAGTTCCGCGGATCAGCATGGCACGCACGTTTGAAAGAGAGGCTTCGAGCATTCTGCCTTCTTTCTCCTCCTCCTCGTGCTCCCCTCCCTGCTATCCCAAAAATACCCATCCGCAGAGGCACTCGCCTTCTCCTCCCGCTCCCAACTTAGTGTATGCGTTGAGCCCGGTGACCCAGTCAGCCGGCACAAGACATGCGCGTCCTCGTGAAACTTTGCGTCGTTGCCACTCGTTTCAATCAGCTGTTTTTCTTTTATGGTATCTAACAAACAATAAGAAATCACTACAACCAATCGCAATGTAAATGTGAAGAGCGAAAAGTGTATGAAAATATAACTTGCCGTGGGCAGGAACCAAACCTGTAATCTTCGAATCCGCTTTTTCTTTCTTCACATTTACACCACAACTAGGTCCAGTAACATCCCCTGTACTTTTTTTTATGTTTGAATGAGTGCTTATTTCATAATCTATCAACTTTGCAGGCGATGTCTTGAAACAGTGCTATACATTTCACTTCGTATTCGCGTCGCATATGATTTCATACGGCTTGCAGGCTTCTATAACTCTCAGTCCACCTCTGTGGAACAGTGGGTGCGGTGCTCATCTGTAATCATTTATCGTATTATTATTATTATTATTATTATTATTATTATTATTATTATTATTATTATTATTATTATTATTATTATTATTATTATTATTATATGACTCGGAAAATATCAATAGGGTGTTGATGTCAACAAGGATTGCCCAGTTCGTGTACAGGAGAACGAAAGGGTAAAAGAGAGAATGAGAAAGAATGTGTGCCGTAAACTCCCCCATACACACATGCGCAGTTCGAGCTGTACATCGAACAAAAAAAACCAGCTTAAACTAAGTTGAGGTTTTTATAACGCAGGTGTGGGGATGCGTAGTCGGCAAAGGGGCACGTTAAGTTTCCAGAGGGCATCGTGCCCCCCTCCTTTACAACTCATTCGCTCCCATATCCCCCCCCTCCACCTTTCGAGGCGCCGCTCCTGGATCATACAACACACCGAGAATAAATATCCAATCTTAATGACTACGACTTTCGCTTGCTTCGCGAAGACAGCTCGTCGAGAGGTCCCGTTTCTCTATACCGACCTGAATTCCTCGTCATTTTCGTGCTCCTCGCGGCCTTCAAACTGGTTTTGAAGTTCGTGCCACGCACGGCCCCGCAGTGATATAACCCTTCTCCTCCGCCCTTTCTATTTTGCGCCGCAGACGCTCCGTCGTATCCGCCACACGCCGCCAGCAGCGCCGCGGTCGTGTACGTGGTAGGATGAGCAGCAGGTGCACAGGTCGGGGCGAAAAACCGCACGTGTTGCAAGGAGGATTTAAAGAGAACAAAAAACAAAACAAAACATAAAAAAGAAGCTTGCTAGTGTAGACGATCTGTCTCACAAGGGAAGTCTAGAATACGTCATCGAACCATTGACAAAATAGAAGTGCTAGCTTGTAACAAAGAAAACCGCAGCGTTGTTTCCTTACTCTCCCAAGCAATTTAATGTGGGGAATTTGAGTGCTTGACACACGCCTTTTGGTCATAAACCTTTAACGTATAGGTGATTGAAAAAAAAAAAGTCCATAACATTCGTGCAGCCAGAATTTTTTTTTTTTCGTGAGAGAGAGGGAGGGGGGGTGTTGAACACCCACTATGCGTGTTGGTCCGTGAATTTGTGTGCGCATATTCGGGGGGAAGGGGTAGAGGTTGAACCGGTCCCCTTATCCCCCCCCCCCTCCTCCCCTGGATATGACAACAGGGAGCTTTCAAATAGCGTACGCAAAGCTTTCCGTTTTCGTTGCGCATACGTCCTACGCTCACCTCTTGCAGTCTCCCAATGAGTGACGAATGCTAACGCTACGCCCGCAACGCCCGCTAACTTAGCGTACGCTATTCGAAAACTACCTATTTACTCATCAATATGCTTTCCTGCAGGTTAACTGAAAACAACCATCTTCAAACATTATAATAAGTCTAGTATTTGCAATACCGGAGCCAATCAACTTTCATTAGCAGAAACCACCCTATATGAAGCGTGTTTCCTAGAAAAAAAAAAAAAAACTGAACGTGAACCGTGGCTTCACGTTTGCCTGCAATGTGTTGCGACGGTTTTCACTTGAATCAAATCAATCAAAAGAGGGAATTTTATTGCAATAAATATAAAAAATGCGTACAAAATATTTCGACCCATAGCATAAGCGGCTATTGAAGGGTCCAATACAGAAAGATATTAACAAAAAGAAGAATAATAACAGTCTTTTAGAAAAAAAACAATTATGAAAGCATCATACTTGGGCGATCTAGTGGTGTACAGAGAACAGATCTAGTATATACCGCATATTTCAAGTTTTCCTTGGTGCCTGAAGGAAGATCTCAAAAATTGGTGCCGAAAGGAGGATGCAGAAAGAAATAAAAAATGGTGCCGTGAGTAGGATTAAATCCTCATCGGCGCGCCGGAGAGATGTTGCGTCAGCCGCTTCGCATCTCGTCGTGGCGAGGCGCTGTCGCCCGAGCAGCCAGCCAGCCGTTGCGGGGAGTCGCGATCGAGTCGACTCTCTCCCATTCAGCCGACTGCCGAGAGCGGTCGCGTGGTCGGGCCTCGGCTTTCCCGCCCGGCGAGTGTCGACGTCGCCGGCTCACGAGGGCGACGCAATATTTACAACCGGCGCCTCGCTGAGGATCCCAACGCTTCGACGTGGTAGTGTGTGCGTGCGCTGTGTGTTTTTTTGGTGGGATACAAGAAGGGCCCGCAAGTTTGGGGACCCATTTGTGTCAGCGTAACCACAATGCAAAACGGCAGCTACACCTCGCTCAACAAGACGGGTGAGTCGAAAAAAAAAATAAATAATAATAATAAGACTCGTTTCACGTCGTGTCGTAGCATATGTCACGCGTTTCGAACCTCGAAAATACATCTATATCGGTTTACGGGTTGCTGTTGTTGATAGTGATGAAAGGAGGAAATGAACTTCTATCGGCTTCGGCATTGCGTCCACTATTTTTAGAACGAGATACGCCGATGAAGAACAGATGTTAGCTCGCATAGCGATGCTGACAGCTTGTCATTTCCTTTTTCCGACATATATACTCCAACGTCGTCGAAATAAAGACAAGCACCGAGTGCCTTGTTTTAAAATACTGTACTCAAATGAAATTGATTGATCGCATTCTTCTGGTTACACTAAATGCGTCTTCAATACGTCAATGACAGACTCATCTGATCGGAATTAGAACATTGCAATTTCGGCTGTGGTGGCGCGTCGTTTTCCGCGTTCAGCGCCCTATAAGTCACTTCGCGAATCGTACGATGACGCAATGTCTAAAGAAATATTCATTCGCTTCTCTCCCCGCGGAGTGTGACGCTTTGCGGTGAAAGCGCGCACTCACATTCGATCGCGCATCCTTTTTTTCGAAATTGGCGCCTCGCTGACGCAATAGTGACGTCATAGACGCTTGAAGAAACGCTCGCCGCAACAGGTGCGCGTGTATAGTGCCTCTAACTGAAGGGCCGGTGACGGGTTGACGCGTGGGTGAACTGACGTGTGGGCTCGATTGTGCCGTCGTCATGCGTACCTCTGCTTTGTAAAGGCGCGATCGCCCGCGTTGCATTTTGTTACGAGAGCTCCTCGAGATCTACGCCTGACGCTTTTACGAAATATGAATTACTGAAATCAGGTTTGACAGCGCGAACAGAAGTGAGGCTGTGCTGCGCCAGTTACAAGGTGTTAAATGATCCATTAAATTTATGTAACTCTGAAACTTTTTTTTTTCCAAAAAAAATTGCTGTTTCTTGAAAACTAAGCCCGCCAGACAACGGTACAAGAGGATCATGTGCAAGCAGAGGAAAATAAGGTGTAAATGTACGTGTTAACACCTACATTCATACAGACAATCGTTTGTATAATTCCCCCGAAACATTTTTGTATCTGCAGGAAAATTTGTGGACATGCGACTAGAATCAGTATGAACGACCACTAACGACTATTTGCATCTTTCACTTGCTTGGTTGCACTTTATTAGCGAAAGACCACTTCAAGTGCTGTCAGAAAACAATGTTATGTATAGATGCGGCGGGGTTCAGCAGAGTTGGAGCATAACGGAGCTGCTTAATGTGTGTCCGGCGCTTGCTTTTTTTTTTTTTTTTAAGTTTTACCCGTTGGTTAGCGAGTAAGTTTAGAGAAAGAGAACGGCAACGCTCTAAAAGCGCATTTTGCGGGGAAAGCAGTTCGAAAAGCAGAGCGTTTGAAAGCAAACAGAAACGACATTTTCTTTATATTTTTACTCGAGGAAAGTGCCCTGCTCATTGTTTTGTATACTATATTGTTTCCTGGCATTTCGAAAGGGCTCGCTCTCGTCTCCGGGGTGCCTCTGTACTTAGGCGTTGTTTATACCCGCTTGATTTTTACTTTCCCGTCTTCGCAATTGCCTCTGCGCAGAGAACAAACGTCGTGCTACAGGGACGTACGTGTTTTTTTTTTTTTCTGGTCACAACAGGTTGACGCAATGAGAACGTCCAAAAGAAAACTTGTTCGGTGCCTCATGCATTGGATTGGCATTGATGAGGCACGTTGTGAACGTTGCAGCAGCGGATAGGTAGTCTGAAATGAGATACGTCAGTCAATACTAGACATCACTAGCCATCCCTATAGACCACACCTTATCTGGCATTGTGGCCATCATTTAGCTAAAAAATCGTATTTATCACTGCTAACAAGTGCTAGCAGTGAGCGAGTACTGTATATATATTAAGCATATTAAGTGAGCGAGAGGGGGAAATAGAAAAAAATGAATCGGGAAAAGTAGTAGTAGTAGTACTTTTATTTACAGTAAGCCGGATACAGAGCTCACTGCAGGGGCAAAGGGCTAAAGGCGAACAGCCTGACAAAGGCTCTTGTCCCTCCGCAGTCCATCACAGTGCAAAGCTTAGACATCAGCACTGACAAACAATATATATATTCAATACATTTGTTTCAAGCAACCTGCAATTGTACACACAAAATTCAAACATAAACAGCATAAGAAGTTTACATAACACATTTTAAGAATTAGAAGTCACTCTCGTAAAAATTCACAACTAAACGATATCAATGAAACAACTCAAAAACAGACACAAAATGCATGCGGATACAATGAATTGCGCTGTATACACTCGTATAATTGACACAGAAATTTATGAACAATTTAAGCATTTGCAGAGGCATGAGACTCCATTAGTAGGGAGGTTAACCAAGCTTCGGCCTGGTTGACCACTCCACACGTGATAGGAGGAGGGTAATAATATATAAGATAAAGAGTAAATAAAGGTAATAAAAATAACAACTGAGCAGTTAGTGTCAACACCAGTAAGTTGAAGTGAAATATGTGCGTTGCCTCTAAGATCAACTCGTGCACCATTCTTTAGAAGTCTGACATCACAATACCCAGGTTGTTACAAAATAACAAGTCATCAAAACAATGTCATCCACTGAGTAAACGACGCCATCGACTGAGTTCTTATCGTGTAAGAGACAGTGCCTTTTCTCTTTATCTTTCATTCGTTTTATCTCTGACATAATAGAAACGACAGAATGCTCAGTGTTCGTCTGCAGTTGCAAACAGTTGATTCCGTAATCTTGGTTGTAACCATCTCTCCCAGTGATATTATGTTACCCCATGCGTTGCGCGAGAAAGCTGACACCGTCCGATGCCGCTAAAATTAAAATTTTCCTCGCGACGTTGTCCACGACCTAAGTCTATCTTTTCGGTGGCACCGATATTCCGTTACTTTAATTAGTCACAGGTTGTCTGCACTACGAATTACATGCCATCCTCGCCTTCATTTCTTTCTGTTAATCCTAACTTTAAAATACGGCGATTCCCGTCTGCTATACAGCCTACACTGTAGCCTGCCTAGTCATTTATACTGTCCTAATTATATCTCGATGATTAGTCGGGTTTAGGGGCGCAAGGGTCATACGTGTCCAAAGAGCTCCATGTCGTTTATGAGGTGTTGGCGATGACCAAGGATGATCACGATAGGGCATATTATGGCTCTGTAGAGGCATAAAAAACACTTGCTATAAATAAACGTAAAAGCCGTGTACAGACATCAACATTATGGCAGGGATACGGGATGCGATCCAAGGGTGGGCAAGGAATTACAAGTGGTCACGATATCTGCAAGTGAGAGATGCGACACTAGCACGGATGCCTCCTCAAGGCATATCTTAATTAGATTTTCCACGGGCCCGTGGCCATCGGGGTACCCTAATTTCCCCCTACCCCGCCCCGAAATTCGGAGGGGTGTGTGGTTTACCCATGTCAAATAATAAAAAAAATCGCTGTTTTATTTATTTTTATTTATTTTTATTTAGAAAATACTGCAGGCTAAGAACAGCCCAGGCAGGAGTGGGGGTGGTACATTATGAGGATATGACCAAAAAAAGCAACAATACAGGCCTTTCAACAACAGGTCAAAAGCAACAATACAGGTTTTTCAAGGCCTTAGTCTCCCTTCCCTCCGAACGAAATTCGTGGCTACGTGCCTGACCTCCAATGTCTGTTGGATGCTTTAATAACCAATTAACAGCAGCAAACAGCATCAATAAATGACACACTGTCCGCGGGGCACGTCGCGCGAATATATACGCAGTGGAAATTAAAGAAATGACTAGGCGCCCTTTGTATAGTTCACGTCCCACAACTCGTTTGTCGCGCGGCTATATCTCGTCTGACAGCTGCCTCGATGGCTTAGATGCATCGGCAAAAAATAATAAAAAGTAACGAACAACAATGCAATAATACATCTCGTATAATTCTACGCGTAGCACGCTTTTTGTAAAGGTTTCTGCACTTAGAAAATGAAATAATAATAATAATAATAATAGGAACCATTGCGCGCTTTGCGCTGCGTCATCCTCTTCGACGTTGACGCAGCAGCAAGCGTTTTTGGGTAGTTCGCTGCGTTTTATGATTCTCTACATTGTATGCTTCTTAACGGTGGAGAGATGTGCTAAATCCCACCACTCAACGGCTCGTCCACTAAAAACTAAGAAAATAAGATGTATGATAGCAAGCAGCTCACCACAGTACAACTGCGAAGTTGGCGGGTATGACTTGGCAGCAGCAAGCACAGGGTCGACTTGATCTGCGGAACACGGAAGGGGCCTTTCGTCCAGCACTGAGCGTATTCAAACTGCTGATGGCGATGATGATGATGTTGATGATGATGATGATGGTTAAGAAAATACGAGTTGTTAACGGCGGGGGCGCCTCCCGTACCATTCTGCACGCATGCTTATTTGCATGCTACATTCTAAGGCTTATAAAGTGCCCCGCCGCGGTGGTCTAATAGCTAAGGTACTCGGCTGCTGACCCGCACGTCGCGGGATCGAATCCCGGCTGTGGTGGCCTGCATTTCCGATGGAGGCGGAAATGTTATAGGCCCGTGTGCTCAGATTCGGGTGTACGCGTTAAAGAACACCAGGTGGTCGAAATTTCCGGAGTCCTCCACTATACGGCGTCTCTCATAATGATATGGTGGTTTTGGGACGTTAAACCACATATCAAATCAGGCTTATAAAGTGTAGTGCACTCGAGACATTCCAATCCAACAAACTGCAATGGCGCGTGTGTCACCTGTCAGTGTCGGTTGTGAGATGTAAAGGGCGAAATAACGAGGTCACCTAGTGTCACGTGATGCGGAATGACGACCAGCAGGCTGTGCGAGCGATCACGCAGCCGGTTTTGCGGCGCCTGGCACGTCGTGCGCGTGTCCTTTATGCTAATTAAGGCAAAGCGAAAAGCGTAACGCGCATAAATATATCAAACGCACTCAATTAAAT